ATGAGTAGAGGATTGCTTTTTCCATTTCTGCAAAGACCTTTGGGATTTTAATACGGATTGCATTGAACTTGTGTATGTGATCTCTTCTTTGACCCATTGGCTATTTAAGAGTGTTTAATTACCACATATTTGTGTGTTGTCCAGTTTTCTTTCTGTTACCGGTTTATAGTTTCATTCCATGTGTGTCAGAGAAGATGCTTTTGATTATTTCAGTCTTTTAAAATTTGTTGATACTTGCTTTGGGCCCAACATATGGTCAGTCTTGGGAAATGCTCCATGTGCACCTGAGAAAAACGGGTATTTTTCTGTTTCTGTGTGAAATGTTCTGCATATGTCTGTTAGGTGTGGTTGGTTTATAGTGTTGTTCAAGTCTTCTATATCTTTGTTGACCTGTCTCATTGTCCTTTCCATTAATTGAAAGTGAAAAATCTCCAGCTATTTTTGAACTATCTCATTCTATTTTCAGTTCTGCCAGTTTTTGCTTCATACATCTTTGGAGCTCTGTTGTTAGGTATGCATGTGTTTATAATTGTCCTCTTTTTCATCCTTTCACTTTTAACCTTTTTATGTTTTTGGCTCTAAGGTGAGTTTCTTGTCAATAGCATATAGTTGGTTTATTAAAAAAAAAAAATCCATTCTGCCAATCTGTGCTTTTTACTTGTAGAATTTAATGTATTTACATTTAAAGTGATTACTTATAAGGAAGAACTACTCCCCTTTTGTTTTCTATATGTCTTATACCTATTTTTATGAATTCCTCCATTGCTGCCTCCTTTTGTGTTTGAGTTTTTGGTAGTTTATCGTTTTCTTTTCTTTCTTGTTTCCTTTTCTGGTATTCTTTTCCTTCCTTTCTTCTTTTTAGTGATTACCCTGGGAATTTTGCTTAACTTCTTAAAAATGTGAAAAAAATCTATTTTGAATTAATATCACTTTAGTGCCAATAGTATACAAAAGTTCTGCTCCCATATATTTCTGTTTCTCTCCATTTTTGTTATTGTTGTCACAATTGCATCTTATATTGTGTTCCCACTAACAAAGATTTATTATTTTTTTAATACACTTGGCATTTGCCTTTTATATAGGACAGAAGAGAGACATTATAAGCCCAAAGTACAATACTTCTAGCTTAGGTAGTTACCTGGTGTTGTTTATTTCTTTGTATGACTTTGAGTTATTGTCCAGTGTCCTTTCATTTTTGCCTGAAGAACTAACTCCCTTTAGATTTATTGTAGGGCAGATCTACTAGCAATGAACTCTCAGCGTTTATCTTAGAATGCTTAATGTCTTCATTTTTGAACAATAGTTTTATTGAATATAAGATTATTGTTTGATTTTTTTTCCCTTCCAGCACTTTAAACATATCATTCCACTGATTTGTACAGTTTCTCCTGAGAAATCAGCTGTTAATCCTATTTAGAATTTGTAGGCATGATAAAAACTGACAAAAACTGCTTCCAGAGTCTTTGTCTTTTGATTGATTATGTCTCCCTGTGCATCTCTGTTTGTGTTTATTACAGAAGTTGATTGACCTTATTGGGGGTTTAGACTTGTGTCTTATTAACTTTGGGAAGTTTGCAGCCATTATTTCTTTAAATATTCTTTCTGTCCTGTTTTCTCTTGCCTCTGGATCTCTGATGGTGTGTGTGTTGATAAGCTTAATTCTGAGGTATCCCCCTAAATTTGTGTGTTGAGATCCTGACCCCTAAAATGATGGTGTTAGGAGATGGGGCCTTTGGCAGGTGGTTAGGTCATGGGGGTGGAGCCCTCATAAACGGAATTAAAGCTGTTATGAAAGGAGTCCTGGAAAGCTCTCTTGCCCACTTCTGCCATGTGAGGACACAGCAAGAAGTCACTGGCTGTGAACCAGGGAGGAGTCCCTCACCTGACCATGCCTGCACCTTAATCTTGGACTTTACAACCACCAGAACTGTGAGAAATAAATTTCTGTTGTTTATAAGTTACCCAGTGTGTAGTATTTTGTGCTAGCAGCCCAAATGGGCCCATAAGACATTTGATGTCCTACTGGGGCCTTAGTCCTGTTCCTTCTTTGTCTGTTCCTCAGACTGGATTAAAAATAGTTGGCCTATTTTTAAATTTGCCGGTTCTTTCCTCCTGCCAGTTCAAATCTGCCATTAAGACTCTGGAGTGAATTTTTTTTTTTTTTCCTTCATTTTGGTTATTGTGTTTTTTAGTTCTAGAATTTCTATATTTTAAACATAATTTGTTTCTTTATTGACATTCTCTGTTGAAAAAGAGTTCTCCTGGTTTTCTTTTGTTCTTTGTCCATGGTTTCTATTATCTCTTTCAACATATTTAAGACAGTTTATTTAACTTCTTTGTCTAGTAAGCTACGAGGTCCTACGAGGTTTTCCTTGTAGGAAAAATTAACTCTTATGCATGGGTCATACTTTTGTTTCTTTGCATGCTTTGTAATATATTGTTGAAAACTGGGTGTTTTGAATGTTATGAAGTAGTAGCTCTGGAAATCAAATTCTCTCTCCTCAGAGTTTGTTTTAGTTGTGTACTGTGGTTTGTAGTTGTTTGGTGACTTTTCTAAACTATTTTTGTAAACTCTTTGTTTCATTTGTTCTCTGAAGTCTGTTTCCTTAGCTTGAGATCAGCTCATATTTTGAGATTTTCTTGAGTGCTTGGAACCAAATGGGGCAGGGGTGGGGGGGTGACAAATAAAAACAAAGAGTTAAAAAGTAAAACCCTTCTAACTTTGCAGAATGGTTCTGTGCTATAGCTCTCCTTATATACTTAGCCAGACTGTTTACAGTTCTGTTTTAGCCTTCATTTCTTGCTTGTGCTGAGCCTAAAAATCAGTCAGAGGTGAAAGCTTTGATTCTTTTCAGATCTTTTCTGAGTATGATTCCTGTGCTGGGCAAGTATGTGACTTCCTAAATTCCTTCCTTTAGGATATGTGGGCACTTTTCAATGCCCTAATTTCCCAAAGAAATTCTCTCCCCAGCTTTTCCTCCTAGGCTTTTGGTATGTCTGTGTGCCTTAGTTGAAATCTTTTTCCCCAGGTGGCAGTAAGTTGTTTTTGGCCTTACAAGGTTTTTGAGAGATGCCCTCCATGTAGCCACTTTTCTGCCCAGAGAGAGTTCTAAGTTAGTCAGAGCTTCAGGTAGCCCCCAGGCTGGGGAAAACAGACAAACACAATTCTTTCAGAATATGAAGTCTTCTCTGTTCTCTCTTGAACCAGAGACTGGGATCCTACACTGAGAATGAAGACAACTGTCTTCAAAGACCACTGTGAGGAGAGGGTGGGGCACGGAGTTGTCAAATGTGCTATACAACTGTCCACACTTTTACGTTGCCAGTTTCTTGAGTTACTGTTGGCTGAGTTGCTGTAAATTTCTGATTATTTTCTGGAGTTGTGACAAAGCTGATTTTGACAGTTTTTGCTTGATTTTTCAGTGATTTGTGGGGGTAGGGGGGTGGGACCTTGAAACTACCTACTCTGCCATTTCCCTGATGTCACTGAAGAAAGGGATTCAATGGTTATTCACAGGTACACCTTTGAGATACTGTGGGTTTAGTCCCAGACTCCTGCAGTAAAGCCAATACTGCAATAAAGCAAGTCACACAACTTTTTTGGTTTATTAGTGAATAAAAAGTTATGTTTATACTATAGTCTCTTTAGTGTGCAATAGCATTATGTCTAAAAAAAATGCTTGTTGTTCAGTCGCTAAGTCCTGTCTGACTCTTTGCAACCACATGGACTGCAGCACACCAGGCTTCCCTGTCCTTCAGTATCCCCCAGAGTTTGCTCAGACTCATGTCCATTGAGTCAATGAAAACAATGGCAATCCAACATCTCATCCTTTGTTCCCCACCTTCTCCTGCCTTCAGTCTTTCCCAGCATCAGGGTCTTTTCCAAGGAGTCTGCTCTTTGCAGCAAGGGGCCAAAGTACTGGAGCTTCAGCTCTAGCATCAGTCCTTCCATTGAATATTCAGGGTTGATTCCTTTAGAATTGACTGGTTTGATTTCCTTGCTGTCCAAAAAACACTTTATGGGGCTTCCCTGGTGGTCCAGTGGTTAAGAATCCACCTGCCAATTCAGGGGACATGGGTTTGATTCGTGGTCCAGGAGGATACCACATGCCATGGGGCAACTAAGCCTGTGTGCCACAACTACTTGAGCCTGTGCTTTAGAGCCCAGGAACTGCGACAAGAGAAGCTACCACAATGAGAAGCCCACACACTGCAACTAGACAGTAACCCCTGTTTGCCTCAAGTACAGAAAGTAATGAAGACCCAGAGCAGCCAAAAAAAATAAATAAATAATTTAAAAAACCCTTTATTTATAAAAAGTGCTAACTACCATCTGACTATACAGAGTTGCCGCAAATCCTTCAATTTTAAAAAATGCAGTGTCTGCAAAGTGCTTTTCATTCCAATCCCAAAGAAAGGCAGTGCCAAAGAGTGCTCAAATTACCGCACAATTGCACTCATCTCACATGCTAGTAAAGTAATGCTCAAAATTCTCCAAGCCAGGCCTCAACAGTATGTGAACCGNAATTGATGCTTTTGAACTGTGGTGTTGGAAAAGACTCTTGAGAGTCCCTTGGACTGCAAGGAGATCCAACCAGTCCATCCTAAAGGAGATCAGTCCTGGGTGTTCATTGGAGGGACTGATGTTGAAACTGAAACTCCAATACTTTGGCCACCTCATGCAAAGAAGTGACTCATTTGAAAAGACCCTGATGCTGGGAAAGACTGAGGGCAGGAGGCAAATGGGACGACAGAGGATGACATGGTTGGATGGCATCACAACACAATGGACATGGGTTTGGCTGGACTCCGGGAATTGGTGATGGACAGGGCAGCCTGGCATGCTGGGGTTCATGGGGTCGTAAAGAGTCAGACACGACTGAGCGACTGTACTGAACTGAATTGAAGCATGATAAACAAAAATATGCCTGAATTATGATACTATTTTTTAATGAGTGGAGTCAAAGAAATTATATTAATGTTTTACAAATTGTTAACAGGATGGAATCCGACGTGGTAGACCTAGAGCAGATACTGTACGGGATTTAATAAATGAAGGAGAGCATTCGTCCAGCAGAATCCGTTGTAACATCTGTAATAGGGTGTTTCCACGGGAGAAATCACTCCAGGCTCACAAAAGGACTCATACAGGTAAGTTGAGCAAATTTTAGAGAATGCCAAAAGTGATACTTAACTGAAAGCTGATTTGATGTTTAGGCCTATAAATTAATTTTTTAGTTGCCTCACATTTCCTTATTGTAAAATTTTAAAAGTGGGCACTGTGTAGTCAGCTTCTCTTTTGATGGGGAGGGATAGTTTTCTGAACATTCATACCATGTGATTTCTAAAGTTATCATGGTAATTAGTGTAGCTGTCACAGGAATATTATTACTAAATTTGGTTCTATCCTGTCTATCCAAATTTTACTTGATATGCCTTTTAAGTTGTCTGTTTGACTGTTAAAACTGATTTGTAAGTCAAATCCTAAATCACTAATAGTCAGATTTTTAATAGAATGTCTAGAGTCCTCTGTTTTAGATGTATTGAGTTAAATAAAGTATATAGTTAAGTTAATTTTACTTGTTTTGTATTACTTTGTGAATGTGGCCATTAGAAGCGGTTCTTTCTCATTCTATTTCTCTTGGTCAGTACTGATCTAGAATTTGTGTTTTTCACCTGTAGTCCCCTGTTTGTTCCACTATGTGTACGGTTATCACCTGTTTCTTTTTTCTTTTAGTTTTTGAAAAGATATAGTTCAATATATCTAGAATATATCAATATATATCATATTGATATAGCAATATATATCATATTGCTATATCAATATATATCAACATAATCAATATATGCTAGAATATAGGTGTTCTTAGCTAAATCCCTGAAAACGGGTAAAGTTTTAATTTTGAATCATTATAAACTAAGGTGGCCAAGATGTTTTGAATTCAGGTACCATTCAGTAAAACTATTATTTTATGCATATCTGATTCTGAGAATTTTTTTCAATCAACTTAGCCTGAAATATGGAAAAGGAAATGGCAACCCACTCCAGTATTTTTGCCTGGAGAATCCCAGGGATGGAGGAGCCTGGTGGGCTGCCGTCTGTGGGGTCGCATGCATGTATTGGAGAAGGAAATGGCAACCCACTCCAGTATTCTTGCCTGGAGAATCCCAGGGAGGCGGAGCCTGGTGGGCCGCCATCTATGGCGTCGCACAGAGTCGGACACGCCTGAAGCGACTTAGCAGCAGCAGCAACCTGAAAAGTGAAAGTGAAGTCGCTCAGCTGTGTCCGACTCTCTGCCACCCCATGGACTATATATATAGCCCACCAGCAGCCTGAAATAACCCCAAATAAGTGGTTCATAGCTGTAGAGTACATGTTGCCAATGTGGAATCAGTTGCCAAGATTGAAGATCACGTGGCATAATAAAAAGGTGCTTGAGTCCAGTACTGATCTACCACTGATTCATTATGTGTCACACAATACTTCTACACCTATTACACTGTGTCCCAGGGACCTGAGCCCAAGATCCCCATGCTATAGTTAAGTTCTAATAGTATATGCTTTTAGAGGGTAGAAAAACTTTTCTCTTACTCTAGTCTGTGTTTATTAACTTCTGTCCAACTGTTAACATTCATTTAGTACATTTCTAAATAAAAAATTTAGGGAAGATTCATTACTGTTCTTTGAGTCATATTGGAAGAACCAATGTATAATTGTTGACCAAAGAATGTTTATTCAGGAAATAAGTTTAATTATGATTGAACAACAACCTTTTTGAGCACTTTCTTTAGCCTAACACTATGCTGTGTACAGAAATTGAAATGGAGTGCAAGGTGCTGTTTATCTTTGTATAAGGAGAGTTCATGATGCATAAACAATATAGGATACTAAGTTAGTGGAGGGATATGTCACTTAATTATTCAGAGGTGGGGGCAGTGGGGGTAGAAGAAGTTTCACTGGGAGCCTACAGGATTGGGAAGATCTGAATGGGCAGGAAAGATAGGGATTCCAAGAAGATAGGGAATTGCCTTGTGGCTGGAGTGAACCTCCAGGAGGAAGTCAAGATAAACCCTGCTCCTGAACCCAGTAGCTATAGTGCAGGTATTAGAGGGCCATTTAAAAGTCAGCAGATCGTTTTTACTTGTTCAAGGAGAAGAGTAGGGTTTGGGATGGTTTTAGAGGGTAGTTGGATGGAAAAAGCAAGTATTTTCTGCCATCTACTCCAAAAGTGCTATACGGAGTCAGAGACTAGAGACCTGCCAGGGTTTCTTCTAGGTGGAGGGGCTGCTGCCAGTCTGACCAGAGGAGGGTGACGGTGAAGACATTTTAAATAATCAGCAAGAGCCAGTGNACGGGGGGGGGGGGGCGGTTTGCGGAATATGGCATAAGCTGAAGATGATAACTGCAAAGATTGTGAACTGGGGTACCGAAAAGCTCAAGGGCTAAAGAAAACATTGTGCTTCCAAGTGATTCGCTGCTTCATATTATCGAAATGTGCCCTTAGCACTTCCATTTGCAGCTCTGTAGAGGCTATGGCATGTTTTATTGTTGTTTGCATTCATGACTTATGTAAAGGTTGATTCTCTCTCCCTGCCCCTTCCCCCTCCCCACCTTATTGTCTCATAAATATAATGACATCTGTTTACTTAGGTGAGAGACCTTATCTGTGTGACTACCCAGACTGTGGAAAAGCCTTTGTTCAAAGTGGACAGCTCAAAACCCATCAGCGTCTTCACACCGGAGAAAAACCTTTTGTTTGTTCAGAAAACGGTATGGTGTTAGAAGTTAAGTTTATGGAATAACCAGTTGTGAGTTAAAGGTTAAAATATCTTTTGCTTGAATTTTTAGGAAGTAAAGTTTTTGATAGAGATTTTATCAAACCTCTTAAGTTAAACTTATGTCCTTGCTAATATGTAATCCATGCTCAGTTGCTGGGAAATGATTGATTTTTAAGTAAAGTATTCTTTTTAGGTGAAAATCTTTATAAAGGGCAATTTAAAATGTATAACCAATTGTAGGCAGTAGAAAACTCTATTCAAGTAAATATAACCTTTAGCGTAGGCTTTTACTTTGGTGTTAAACTTTTTCACTGTTAAACTGAAAGAAGCACATTATTGTCTAAATTTTCAGGAGGGGCGGGGGTGGGGTAGATTTTACCAGCTCAACATTGCTACTGTTGGTAATTTCTTAACACTTTTCTTAAGTGTTTATTTATTGTTTTACCAGTTTCTTAATCTGTTTTTCTTATGTACATTTTTACACAGTTATATTTGAAATTCAGTACAGTTTTGTTCTGTTGCTCCGTGGTTTCCTTGATTAATATCAGTTGTTACAAATGTAGCACATATACTTAACGATTGCCTCAATGTTAGATATTGAATATTTAATTTGTTTTTAAAATTTGCTTGTTATCAACAAACATGAGAGGCCTGTTTTCCTATTTAAAGCTTTATTTACCTTTTGGGATTTTTTTTTATGACAAATGCCAAGAACGAAATTCCTGGGTCAGAGATTTTGAATATTTTTATGACTTGTGCTAATAAATTACTTTCCATTGGGGTTTGATGCATTTACATTGCAATGACCAGGAGGTGAAAGAACCATCTTCACCTTCCTCTCAGTGGCATTGATAATACCAGTTTAAGGTTATTTTTTTTTTTTTCTCAAGTTATAGAATGATAAATCTCATCATCTTATTTTTTTTCGGATACCAGTGAAACTGAACGTTTTCCATGTCTGCTAGATATCCAGATTCTGATGAAGTGTTTCCTTCTGTGTTTTGAAGGCTGCCTAAGCAGATTCACCCATGCAAACCGCCACTGTCCGAAGCACCCTTACGCCAGGCTGAAGCGAGAGGAGCCCACAGATGCTCTCAGTAAGCCCCAGGCTGTGGACAACCAGGCTGCTGCTGAGTGGTTGGCAAAGTAAGGCTCTCCCTGGAGTCTAGAGCAGAATACTGCCCAGTGTGTGGGTTGAAGCTGGGGACTTACACAGTTCTGTCAGTTTAAGTTGCTTTTATACACGTTTTTTAAAAATAACTTGAAATGGCACTTTATTTCTTTAAAGCACAGAATTGTTAGGAGTTTTATTTGGATCTGTGTGTGATGGAAGACTATTGTATGATATTAATCTGAGTGCTCAGACCACAATTTATTTAAAAGCAACGGTTTACCCCATTTGAAAAGAATGTTTTTTATGTATTGTATTTCATTTGTCATTAGTACAATCCATCTTCATTTTCTTTATATTGAATTTAGCAATGTGTTGATTATTAGAGAGACAGAGACTAGAGGTTCTTCTAAAGTAAAATTTCCAAAAGCATCCAGTTTAATTTTTTTAATGTCAACAAAGTGGCCAGTATAAAAACATTCCTGTAAGGATGTTTTGATTTAAGGAGTCGTCACACACCAGCAGCAGCTGATTGTGCCATTCCCTAGCTTCACTAGCCTCCTCTGCGCTGAGGATAAGCTCTAGAATCCCTAACCATGTTCTGTGGTTCTGCCTCCCTCTAGCAACACAACTATCTCCAGCCACCTGGGTTCCTTGTCTCTCTACAGCACTGTTACCGTAGTTTCTAGCCCTTTGTGCTCACTTCTCTCTTCACTCTGCTTATTCTTCATTTCTTACTCAGATTAAACATCACTTCAGGAAGTTCTTCCCTAACCTACGCAGTAACCCCCAAAACAAATAAGGTTAAATCCACTTAACAGATGATTTTATAACACGTTGTATTTTCTATCTCAAAACCTCCATCACACCTTTCTCTGTCCGATGACTGTCTTCCCTGCCGGATCATGAGCTCCACAACGGCAGGGTTGGGTCTGTCTCAGGTATTGCACCGTTTTCTTCCTCCCTCTTCCTCCTTGCTGGCTTCCACTGCCCCACTGAGTCTAATTTTGCCCAAGCCAGAAACTAACTAGTCATCTTTATCTTATTTTTCTCCCATCTACTCAGTGATCAACCTATGGATTCTACTTCCTTAACAATTCTCAGATTCAGCCACTTAAGTCTTCTCAATCGATATTTCATGCTGCTGCCAGAGGAGTGTTTCTAAAATGCTAATATGGTTCTCAGTATGAAGTCTAAACCCTTTACTATAGCATTCAAAGCCCTTACCTAGTCCTTGCTAACCTTGCTCACTTGTATTTTGCTGTTTTCCTTTTCTAGTTGTCCTTGAAGTCATACTGAACTGTTTGCATTTCTCTTTTTATATTTCTGAGTATTTCCACAAGTTTTCTAGTTTGAGTAGTCCAGGTTTCCTGAAATCTGGTAGTTGTAATTTTTTTTTTGTATGTAATTTTAGAAACAGCTTTATTGAGGCATAATTGTCATACAATAAATTGTACACATTTAAAGTACATAATTTGATGCATTTTGATGTATGTAGATACCTGTGAAACCATCACCAAAATCAAGATAGTGAGCATACCCATCACTTCCACGTCTCCTCATGTAAGCCTGCATCTCCCTGCCACTGCCAGCCCCCAAAAACATTTATCTGCTTTCTCTCTGTACAGTTCTCATTTTCTAGAGTTTTATACAAATGGAATTGCCCATTATGTACTTGGTTGGCTTCTTTCAACCATCATAATTATTTTGAGAGTCATGGTGTTGTTGAGTGTATCAGTTCATTCCTTTTTATAGCTGTCCAGTAATCTGTTGTATGGCCGTAACTCTAATTACTTATTCATTCACCTCTTGATAGGCCTTTATGTTGGTTTTGGCTATTACAAATAAAGCTGCTATGAACATGAATGGACATTTTTGTAGGTAATGGTACTGTCATTTCAATATGCCTTTCTTTGGTTTTCAGGAAAGGTGGAACATTTGCATTTTCTCTTGTGCATTATCAGTTGACCATGCAATAGAATAATGATGGTGCTCTTAAATTCTTGAATAAGCTCTATGTGTTACCCTTAATAACCCATTTGTGCTATTTTTTGGTGGGTTTAAACTTTCTCATAATTAGCTCTATCAGAAGCCATCATCCCTCTGTGGATAAGATAAATAGGCTTCTAATGATTATTCTATTTCTATATTTTACTCTAGTCCATTTCACATGTGATCTTGAAATCAGTTTAATGATGAAAACACATGACTCCAGAGCTGAGTCTGAGCTGCTGTTTGTTGATTGTGGCATTCTAAGCAAGTCCTTCAGCTTCCTGAACTTGAGTTTTTCCACATGTTATGGAGACATGTGGAGAAGGAAATGGCAACCCACCAGTGTTCTTGCCTGAAGAATCCCAGGGACAGAGGAGCCTGGTGGGCTGCCGTCTGTGGGGTCGCACAGAGTCCGACACGACTGAAGCGACTTAGCAGCAGCAGCAGCATGGAAACATGTAACGTATTCACTTTGTAACTTTATAAACTGAAACACACAAAATAATAACTGTAGTAAAGACCCCCCACTCCCCCTTTTTTTGTTTTTTTAGAAAAGTGAACATTGGAGAATGTTACTATACGTGCAAGTAATGCGATGCATTTCATACAGGTACTGGGAAACACGGGAGCAGCGCACTCCCACCTTGAAAGGCAAGCTGGTTCAGAAGGCTGACCAGGAGCAGCAGGACCCGCTGGAGTACCTCCAGTCTGACGAGGAAGACGATGAGAAGAGCGGTGCGCAGCGGCGGCTCCAGGAGCAGCGGGAGCGCCTGCACGGAGCCCTCGCCCTCATCGAGCTCGCCAACCTGACGGGAGCCCCGCTCCGCCAGTAGCCGGACACTGACTCTTCCACTGTACAAAAGTACTGCCCAGCGTACTTAAAAAGTAGATCCTTGGGCATAAGCTAAGCACCTTATTTGCTTATCATAGGCTGCTATTCTGTAGAAATGTATGAAGAATGTCGTTGCCCCAGAATATGGGGTGAGAGAGAATTGCACTTTTTTTATATGGTCATAGATTTGTTGTAAAGTTTAAAATATTTTGTAAATATGGGACTTCTAGTACAGGGTAGAAAACTACGTATTGTGGGAGGCTAGATTTTGCAAGTTTAATGCATTCATTGGAAGCAGTTCTCACAGAAAGCACTTTCTGAATAAGACACTTGTATGGGGAAAAAAAAGCATGGTACATGTAGCCAAAGAAGGTTTAAATAGATTATTTATAAGATCATTTTTAACAATGTATATTAGTATGTTTAACAATACTGTAAACACTGAAGCAAGCAGAAAGCATAAGTTGTGAGTAAGGTATATATTTTAAAATTGCAAAACAGTGTGCCTAATAAGACTAGCGATGGAAAACTGACTTCCAGAAGACTTTCTAACTTTGGGACTTTGTAAGAAAACAGATATTTGAAAATCTTGGTAAGATGAACAGTAGTTAAGAATTTTCAAAACTGGAGTGAAATCAGTCTTATTCTATCTTTCTGAGGTTTTACAACTCACTATGATGTTTAGATTTGAAAGCACTTGTCACCCCTAGCTTGTTAACTTGGGAACTTTTGCACATTTCATGTTTCTCATTTGCTGAAATTGAATGATTAATCTTGCAAAGTCTAGGTAACTTGGTAATCGGTATTTTAAAAATATATTATGGGCCCTGTAATGAGATTTGGCACTTGGATTTTTATTAATAAAAGGGACATCTACAGGGTTGTTTTGTAGTGAACCGTTTTAGATCTTTTGTTAGCAAACACTAAATTTAAATGTACTGCTTGTTTAGAATTATTAGCAAATGGAAGCCTCCTATTTATATTTTCAGTGCATAAAGCCACCTTCTTGCTTTACTTCAGAATAACATGCCAAGCTATTTTGTGTTCACTAAATTTAGCTATCAGTTAAACACTGCAGAAAATATTAGCTACTCAAATAAGTAGGCTTCCGGAATAGTTTTAACTGCAAGTGTGTTAACTTGTGTGGTGGTTTTAAATAATTTTTTCCAAAATAGATGAAGTTTTTAAACACCACTTTATGTACTGAAGCATGAATAGAAAAATGAAGAGCTGAGTAGTTCACCTCCTTTATGTAGGCATAAACTTCCATCATTTTAGCTTGTTTTAAGCAGAAACTAAATAACATGCATAGCATGGTAATTTTATAGATTGCTTAATTGGAGTAAATGTCACAATAAGGGAAATAAGGGCTCGTCAGTGCCTTTCTTTCTTTTTTTTTGTATTGAAGTAGTAGCCTACAGATGTAGTTTAAACATCTAAAATGTAGGCTTCTGTATCTCAAAATCCCAACATGTTGCAGTACACAGATAGTTTAAAATATGTAGCCATGGGGAAGGGGATGTATGTAAATGTCTTGAAATGAGGCAAAAGTATGAAAGATAATAGTAACAAATAATGTGTATGATGAGGACATACTTTAAAAATGTAATTCCTCTGTACAGTAAATTACAAATCTTGAGGGATTTTTTTTAATAAGAGAATTTATATTTGTAATGGTCTAAGAAATTTTTTTTGTAATCTGGTATATAGAATTTTAACTTGGAGCACTTATGAGCACAGTAAGAGAGACTATAGCATCTGAACTTTCTTGGTTTAGGTTTCAACATTTTTCTCTAGAATTTTTCCTCTCAAAGATGACTTAAATGAACTCTAAAAAGCTTCATCAGTCTTGGGAAATTTAATGAACTTACCTAAAGAAGGAAATGCAGTAGGAATTTAAGAAATACAAATTCACACATAATAAAATTTAAGGTCTTCAAAAGTAAAGAGTTTTTGTTTCTCCTGTCAGCTTTTGTCAACTATAATAGTTATATTCACAAACATTTTCTATTTGTATAATTGGAAGTTTTAAAAAATTATTACAATTATTTACTATAGAAATATTTAAAATGTTCCTTTCTTGATATAAGCTATATATTTGGACAAAATACATTGGCATCTAAAATTTGAGGTGTGTTAAAAATGTGGTTTACATTCAAATTTTTGAAGTGTTTTATGCTTCATATGGCTAAGTTGTAGTTTGGCAGAGTTAACAGCATAAGAATAAACAGCTCTAATTTTAAAAAGTTGCTTTGAATAAAAACTTTAATTTACAGTTTAAAGTACATGCTCATTCTTAAACCCTGTATAATTTGTTTTCTTTTTAAAAATACGATAACAAAAAAAATAAAAGTAAAAATACGATAACCATAATATAAAAATTTAAAGATGGAAAGAAATATCATGTAACCATACATTCTCATTATTATTATTCTCCTTATACATATCATTATTATTTTGGTGCATTTTATATTTCATTCCAGTCTCAGGCATCTTTTTAGCATAGCTGAAACCATTGTGTGAATTCCTTTTTCTTTAAAGTTTTGGCCTTTTAGACTATGGATATTCATTTAACTTCCTCATCTGTTTTCATTATTACAGTATAAAAATACTGATGTAAAAAAGCATCAAACTACTGCCAGCTCTATCCCAGGCTTTATATTAGGGTAATCAGGAACTGGAGTTTTATTTCACTTATATCCAGGATGTGTTGAATCTGAGGTCAACCCTGGAGAATCCAAAGTCTAGTTTACTTTTCTGAGTCAAGCAAATTGCTTTAATTTTTCAATTATTTTTTGGTAGATCTTTAGTTGGTTATTTGCAGTGGCAAGGTTTCAGCCTGTCCAGGCTTTGTGCAAAAGAATTTCACAAGCAACTCTTCAGTGTCAGTTGTGGTTTAAACACAGAAAGGATGAGATTTTTGACAGTGACTTAAGTTCTAGGAAGTATGTACACAGAAGCAAATTCAATGCAAATATGATTAAGACTGTCTTGAAAAGTGACTTTAAAATACTGTCTTGTACTTGTGGTCCAGTGGTTAAGACTCCAGGCTTCCAATGAAAGGGGGGGCAGGTGCTGACCCCTAGTTCAGGAACTAAGATTCCACATGCCTTGTGTGGCCAAAAAAACCCAAAACTGTCTTGTTGCCAAAAGTTAGTTGGAGACTCTTGGACACACTGGAAACTTAGTTGATCTTTTTGAGGAACTTAACCAAAATGACTTCTAATTTCAGATTTTGGATTCAACCTGAGTGTGAATTTATTTTCTATTTTAAAAGTCATGTGTATTCCTTTTCTGTTTTGGGTAATGTAGACTTCCTTTCTGGCTTTTTTAGTGCTAGTTATTTGTTAAAAGCTGGGGTCGCAAAGAGTTGGACACCACTGAGCAACTAATAACATCACATCATATCTTCAGTTCAGTTCAGTCGCTCAGTCGTGTCTGAATCTTTGCAACCCCATGAACCGCAGCATGCCAGGCCTCCCTGTCCATCACCAACTCCCGGAGTCCACACAAACCCATGTCCATTGAGTTTGTGATGCCATCCAACCATCTCATCCTCTGTCGTCCCCTTCTCCTCCTGCCCTCAATCTTTCCCAGCATCAGGGTCTTTTCAAATGAGTCAGCTCTTCTCATCAGGTGGCCAAAGTATTGGAGTTTCAGCTTCAACAGCAGTCCTACCAATGAACACCCAGGACTGAAAATACTATTAAAAGAAAAAAAAAAGGCAAAACAAACCCTAAGCCTTAACGTTTCTCCCTAAGGCGGCAGTTTAGAGGAAGACAGGGTTTTAAAAAACTCTCCCAAACCCAGACAAGAGTCAGAGGGTGGTGCCTTTGACGACGAACTTGAGCCGAACCCGCTCTTACGTACGGGCAGCTTTGGGGCGCCGGGCGCGGGGCGTGTGGGGTTCCCTCCGCGGCCCTTCCTGTTTCGGCCGCGCCTCCTCCCGCGCTGGCTGGGGGCGGGGACTGAACTGGGGCGGCGCGGGCCCGAGGGTGGCCCAGACGGGCGGCCGCGGGACATGACGGCCGGCGGCCAGGCCGAGGGCGCGGGCGCGGACCCCGCTTCCGCGCGGCTGCCTTCCCGGGTGGCCAAGCTACTGTCGGCCCTCTTCTACGGGACCTGCTCCTTCCTCCTCGTGCTGGTCAACAAGGCACTGCTGACCACCTACGGGTGAGGCGGGAGCCTGGGGGCTGGGAGGAGTCCGCGGGGCGCCCGGCTGCTCCGCGGGACTCCGGGACCTTCCCGCTCCGGCGCCGCGCGGAGCGGGTGCTGGCCGGACTCCGGAGGTCCCGAAGTCTCTCCCGGGGAGAGCCGCGGGGCTGCCTGCCCTCGTGCACTTCGGTCGCACTCGGGTCAGCGGGTGGCGGGGAGCGGCGAGCGGGAAGTCTCGCTAACTCCGGAGCAATTTGGGCGGCCAGTGCACTGCGCACGGGCCACGTATTCAGGGTCCGGACCTTCGCACTGTTTGGAAACAAAACCACAGGCCAGCAAGTCAGCGCGGGCGCACCTTACCGCGGCTTATTGCTGCAGGACAGGAAGCGCACCTGTGCTTTCAGGAGCACCAGTGAGCTGAAACTAGCGATCCGAACAAATGTTTCCTTCAAATGCAAGCTATTTCTACAGGTCTAGCTATTCAACCATCAGAAGAGTCCTGAGTAGATGAGTTTATTCGCATTGTTTGATCATTCATTCTCAAATCACCAGCATGTTCATGGGAAAATGGAGAAAACAAAGTTTCATATTCTCTCTCTTTTTTTTTAATGAGTATGTAGTAAACCAGCAAATTTGTGTTTCCTTGAACCTATTTGTAAAGATAGAAAATCCTGTTTAATTCTGCCTTGGTTGTATAGGCATCGAAAGCGCTGTGAATTTAGACCCAGCTCCACCAGATAATTGCATCTCTGCAAATTATCTCCCAGACCTCGGCATGAGTTATCATAAGTGAGGCCTCCTTGTAAACTATACTGTGCTACAAGAATGTAAAATCAGGATTTTATAAAGAGTCCAAAGGACTACCCTGGTAGCTCAGTAGTAAAGAATCATCCTGCTTGGGCAGGAGACAGAGGTTCCCTCCCTGGGTGGGGAAGATACCCTGGAGAAGGAAATGGCAACCCACTCCAGTCTTGCCTGGGAAATCGAATGGACAGGGGAGCCGGACAGGTTACAGTCCGTGGGGTCATGAAAAGAGTGAACACTACTTAAACAACAACAAAGAAACCTCAGAGTGTCTTCAGCCTCCTTATTTTAAACTAGCAGAAGCTGAAACCTAGGTGAGCTTGGCTGGTTCCACCTCTAACAGATATTTATCAGGCAGCTACTAGGTGCCAATGCCTGGTATCAGGGAAGCAGCTGTGAAAAAAACACAAAGCAGCCTGCAGTGGAGCCCCCTATCATATCAGTGGTAGGGAGGACAGTGAACAGGTGGGCTCATGAATAAGCAAGGTGATTTCAGGTTTGCTGTGAGGGTTCCTGGGGTGGAGTAGTTGGTGAGAGCATTCCACACAGAAGAAAATGGGCTGAAGTGGGCATGAGCTTGCCCTACTGGAGGAATAGAGAGAAGGTGATCTGGCTAGAACTGAATGAGCAAGTGGTAGGAGAGACAGTGTTGGGATCGGTAGGATCGGATCCTTCATTCATTCAATAACATTCAATAAACACCTATCATAAAAAGAGAATGCTGTTAATAGGCGTTTGGGGAGTGGTTGACAGATACATCAGTTGAAGTTTGATGGTAAATCTCTGCTTTCTGCTCTTGACTGAGCAGTGTGCTCATTGACCAGAACAGTCAATGAGTCTAAAAACATGCGTCTTCTTGTTGGAGCAGGGACTGGTAAACACTGGTTAAGTGCTTGGAAGATGAAGGACAGTGTTTGACTGGAAAGAATTATATGAGGCATCTCCTGCTGTAACCTTTCCGTCTTTAAAATTTTGAGTTCCATGATTGAAGGAGGAAATTGTTTTTGTCTCAGCAAGGCAAAGCTCCTTATAACCTTATATGTTTCACATTTCCGTAATGTGATACACAGTTGGAGAGCCCTGTTCAAAAAACATTGTTTAGTCTCTCATCTCAGGATGCTTTCAGAGCATGTTTTGAGGCGAAGAGGGTTGGGGTTGTTAGGTTATAACAATAAGCCATAGAAATCTGATCCAGACATTAACTGTTTGAGGATAGAATGTTGTGTTATTGGGTAGAAGGAAGAACTTTTTGTAGTTACCTAGGTCACAGGATTATGGGGATGTAGCTCAGGGAATATTTTTTTGTCTTCCAATTTGAGTAGATTATGTCTAGTTGGAGTCCCAGACTAATGAGTGGTCTTAATTATATGTTAGTCTTAGGTCATTGACTTGCTAAATTTACCTAGTTGGACGGAGAGAGCTTTGGAAGGACTTGGAGTCAGACCCTGTTGGAGTGAGAAGGAAAAGAATCTGGGGGACAAGATGGGCTTTGATGGTTCAGCGCATGTAGCCCGAAGTCCTGAAGGGTGGAGAGAAAGACCAGGGCTCCTTTAAATGAGCCACAGAAGCTCAGGAGACGCTACAAAGAGGAACTCTAGCGCTGAACCTTCAAAGCCCATCTTGTCCCCTAGATTCTTCTCCCTCTCACTCCAACAGGAAGAAGAACAGTAGTGGTTCTTTGGAGTCACATTCATGAGGCTTGTGCAGGCAGTCTCAGTCGTTTTGTTTTTTTGTTACTATTTTAATACTGTTCTCTGCCATGCATGATTTTACGAATAATGCTTAATACAAAGTGTAAACTTAGTTATATTTAGTTCAACAGGTATGTGCTTGGTACTTGCTGTTTGTTTATGCAATCCAGGGCTTTGAGATCACTTAACACAGTCATTTTCAAACTTGCTTGGTAATATGAATCCCTAGGAGAGTTTGTTTTTGGAGCTATTGAATCAGAGGCTCCAGTGGTGGGAACTGGAAGTTTATACTAAAAATCAAAAACAACTCCTAATTTTCTCCTGGTGGCTCAGATGGTAAAGCGTCTGTCTACAATGTGAGAGATCGGGTTTGATCCCTGGGTCGGGAAGATCCCCTGGAGAAGGAAATGGCAACCCACTCCAGTACTATTGCCTGGAAAATCCCATGGATGGAGGAGCCTGGTAGGCTACAGTCCATGGGGTCGCAAAGAGTCGGATATGACTGAGTGACTGAACTGAACTGAATTTTCTCATACTCTGATGAAAACTGGCTCTCTCCTAAAGACACTGCTCCATTGGGCTCCTGGGAAGGAGCTGGATCCTGGTCGTGCCCCACCTGTTGCCAGGAGGTG